TGTGTGTGCTCATGAGAGAGAGAGAGAGATAGCACCCCTCAGAGGAGATGGCCACACTACAATCCCTTCTCTTCCATTCTCCTCTCTGAATAATTTTGGGCATGCATGCACATACACCTGGCATGTTTTTCGAGCCACTGGGTCTAGGGCTTGATCCACACAGTTGGCCATGTAGAAACCAGTACCTTAACCTCCATACCACCTGCTAGGCCCTGTGCCTAGCATGTTTTCAAGTTGACCCTGGGATCCAGGTCCACAGTACATCACATGGTTTCCAGCCTTTCAGGTGCCACAGAAGAGGGGGCCCAACATTTTTTTAAGAATGATAGATATGCTCCTTAATGTTTCCATCAAAGCTCCTATACTGACAAGAATAAGACCTTAAGACAAGACTGTGGGGTGGAGCCTCAAGAACTGGCTACAGGGACCAGCAGTTAGCATAATGGCTATGTCGCTGGACTCCCATGTAGTCGACCGCGGTTTGAGTCCCAGACCCGGTGACTTAAACTCACGCCGGGTGCGTGTGCGTGTGTGCCCAAGATCCCAAGAGGAGAATGGAGGAGAAGGGATTTCAGTGTGGCCATCCCCCCATGGGGGGTGATTTCTTGCTTTCTGTCTCTCTGTCTCTCTCTGTCTGTCTGGCACACGCCCTACAGCAAAAACCTCTCAGAAAAAAAAAAAAAAAAAGAACTGGCTACAACTACCTACCTAATAATTTTGAAGTGAAATGTTTTATGAGTTCATTTTACTTAATACATTCTGTTTACTCAAATGCTTGGTATACCCCAGGTTACAAATGGTTTGGTGTGAGAGTTTGATGTGTGAGGTATACCCAGTGGGCAGTAGGAAATGTGTTGAGGAATATCAAAGTTCTGGGTGGGCAGATGAAGAACAGGCTCAAGAAAGTAGATGAACCATCTCACTTTTGGGTGATCAACCTCATGAGACCTCCCCCCTTTCAGAAAATTATAGCCAGTAGTGATTACCCATCCAGAGTCATCAGCAGCCAAAAGGCATCACTTGCAGTACTGAAGTCCCAGAGCCATTGACCAATTATTACTGTCATGGAAGCAGGGCCATGAAGCCAAGTAGGTCTGTTTCATTTCGTAGCATGAGGATGACAGGATGATGACAGTATCTAGATAATAATAAAAATATTCAACATTCATGGAGGCTTACTATGTACCAGACACCCTCCTTTTGTCCTATTTTACTTTTGAGATTCAGAGAGACTAAGTATCTTGCCCACAGTCAGACAGCTAACAAATATCCGAGCCTACAGGTGTGTATTTGTAAATTTGAATACTTGTGCATATGTGTGTGCATGTATGTACAGATGTGTGCACATGCTTGTGTGTGTATATAGGATGTGTGGTGCAGGAGGATTTCTCTGCAGAATTAGGCATGGATTAGACCCAGCCTAACCGTGAAGATTGCTGAGCATCACAGATTTGGATTGCCTACCTGGTGTGAGTTACACTTTGATTTTTGTGCAAATGGCAGACTGGTTTCATCCAGTTTGAGTGGCCTGGAATCAGAGGATGGCCTTTCTCTGGAAGGACAGTCTTTGTTGATTACCATCAGTGTGTGGCCTGTCAGGAGCTACCTGGTGGAATGGCTTGGTTTCTTTTTGGCCAGCGTGCCTGGTGGTGTGCTGTGAAGGTTGGTTACAAAGCTGGCTACGTAAGAGGCCATGATAGCTTTGGAGTTCAGGATACATCTGGGGATGAAACTTGCTCAGAGGAGAGTGAGAATGAGAGGGGTCTTGAAATCGAGTCATGTGGTTTAAAGAACTAGAGTTATTTAGTCCGGAAGAATGGAGGTTTGGAGGACAGGAGTACTGGTAGAGAATGGAAAATTCTCCTGTAGTCCAAGGGCAGCCCTGGGTCTGATAGTAGAAATTCCAAAGAAGCTATGTATAAGCTTAGTATTAGGCAGTTAGAGATAGCCTGGTAGCACAGTGGGATGCCCTTGAAAAAGGGGATGGTGTATGTGGAGGTGGGTTCTCTCCTTTGTTCATGGAAAGTGATTCTGGGGCTGGAGGCCCACCAATCACATACATTGGTGGGTCTAGAACTCAAGTTTTCTATAATCTCATCCAACCCTGGGCTTCTAGGCTGCAGGGCAATTTTGCTTAGAGGCTGTCCTGTGGACCAGCGCAGATCCCAGGCATTGCAAACCAGGTTGGGGCAGGGCAGGCAGAGGTTAGTTTGCTACGGTTGCCATAAAATGTTCCACAGACTTGGTGGCTTTAAAGAGAAATCTATCATCTCACAGCTCTGGAGGGCCAAGTTCAAAATCAAGGTGTCAGCAGGATTGCTTCTTTCTGAGGGCTGAGGGTGCACAGCCTGCTCCAGACCCATCTCCTGGGCTTGCAGATGGTCATGTAATGCTCACACGGCATTTTTCCTGAATGTGTGTCTGTCTCCAATTTCCCGCTTTTATACAGACACTAGTCATTTTGGATTAGGGGTAGCTTTATAATCTCACGTTTACTTGATAACCTCTGTGAAGACACTGTGTCCACATAAGGTAACATTTTGAGATACCAGGGGTTAGGATTTAACATATGAATTTTAGAGGGTCACAGTTTGACCCATAACAGGGCAGACAGTGATCCTATGAGTCAAGCTCTGTGGCGCTCATGCGTAGAGGGGACGATGAGTATTAGGGCGGAGAGCACAGGTGTGGAGACTGCCTGGGTCCACATCTCAGCACCACCATTTCTAGCCATGTAACCCGTCAGAGACTTAGCTCCTTCATCCGTAAAGGGGGGCTGGTAGAGAGCACAGGGTTGTGGAGAGGATTAGGTGAATAAACATGTAGAACACCAGGAAGGTTCCTGGCACACAGTAAGTGCCAAAGACGTGGTTAGCTGTTAGTATCCTCACTGCCTTTCTCACACTACGGATTTCAGTGGTCTGTTTTTGGCTCTGTTGGGCAGGAAAATGACTTTGCTCATAGTTACCTTTTGCAAATACAATATGGATAAATCATGAAGGTATAGTTTTTCTCATTGATGGTGTATTTTTTTTTTAAGAAAATGGTACAATTTAAACTTTTAAAAATCACTCAGGAACCTTTATTCCAGTATTTCAGTGGGCCTTGTTGATAGCCTTTAATAAACTGACTTGAGAAACTCAGTGTCTAGTGACAATAATCACGATGACAGCTAAATTGAGTCAGATGTTTTATCAATGCTTACTCCTTACATTTTTTTGTCCTCTGTATTTTTTTAAAGACTACTTTATTTACTTATTAGGATTATTCTCCTCTACCTTTTTTTTTTTAATATTTGCTATAGGGTACTTATGCTCACTGAAGAGAGAGAGAGAGAGAGAGAGAGAGAGAGAGAGAGAGAGAGAGAGAGAGAGAGAGAGAGAGAGAGAGGAAGAGAGGAAGAGAGAAATCACCCCCTGGGGAGTATGGTCACACTGCAGTCCATTCTCTTCCGTTCTCCAACTGGGATTTTGGGTATGCAAGCACACCCGCCCAGTGTGATTTTCAAGTCACTGGGTCCGGAACTAGAGAGAGAGAGAGAGAGAGAGAGACAGAGAGAGAGAGGAAGAGAGGAAGAGAGAAATCACCCCCTGGGGAGTATGGTCACACTGCAGTCCATTCTCTTCCGTTCTCCAACTGGGATTTTGGGTATGCAAGCACACCCGCCCAGTGTGATTTTCAAGTCACTGGGTCCGGAACTGAAATTGTGTAATCAGCTATGTGGGATCTAAGTGCCTTAACCACCATGCCACCAGCTGGCCCAGTAGTCTTAGTTTTCTATGTTTTTCCAGTTAACCTTCTTTCTTTTAAATCTGTATTTAACAATAACACGGGCAGTTTTGTTTTTTAAATTGTAGTACCATTCTCATAATAAGTTACCATTTATCCATTTTTGAAGCATGTATTTCAGTAGCATGAAGTGCAACCATGGGCAGCCATCCCCAGCATCTAACTCCAAAACTCTTCTCTGTCTTTCTAAACTGAAAATTTGTACCCATTAAATGCTAATTCTTCAATCTCTTCTTTCCTTTACTTCTAGCAACCACAATTCTACTTTCTGTCTCTGTGATTTATTTTAATTTATTTTACTTTTTAACTTGCCAGGGGATACACACCCTCACTGGAGAGAGATGGAGAGAAAGCGAAAGTAAGAAAGCAACCTCCATGGGGAATGGCCACATTACATTCCCTTCTCCTCTCTCTCCTTCCTTTCGGGATTTTGGGCATATATACACATGCACCCAGCATGCTTTTCAAATCGCTGGGTCTGGGACTTGGCCATGTGGGATACAGCAACCTTAACCACCACTGGCCCATCTCTGATTTTTACTATTCTAGGAATCTCATCTAGGAGGGGTTGTATAACGGTCAACATTTTATGACTGACTTATTTAATTTAGTAGAATGTCCACAAGGTTTGTTCACGTTGTAGCAGTGTCAGAATTTCATTCCTTTCTAAGGCTGAATAATATTTCATTATGTACATGGATCACATTTTGTTTATCCGTGCATCTGTCCACAGACATTGGGGTTGCTTCCATCATTTGGTTATGATGAGTAACGCTGCTGTGAACATGGGTATATAGACTTTTCTTTTTAGAACTTTGTGATTATACTTGTTCATGTCTATTGTAGGAAAAAAAAGTTAAATGCAGAGTCAAGTAGAAAGCACCTTCCACTCCTGTCACCTGAAATCTTAACATTCAAAGATAATCACTTTTGGGTTCTGTCCCTCCAACTGTATTTAGGCCTATACCTGTACAATGAAATTTAAAAAAAACGTTTGAAATTATTCAGTAGTTTCCTTGTTTTGAGCAGCAGGGTGGTGGGTGCTTGTACTGGGCCAGGCAAAGGCTTGTCTTATCATCACAGTTTCCTGTGTGAGCTGGCACAGGCCCCTATTGTGAAGTTGGGAACATAGGCACTGAGAAACCCAAGGTCAACTGGCTCTTTCTGTCCCCACTTCTGGTCCCTAACTGTGTCCTTTCCATCTCTTCCAGGCAAATGTCTGCAGACTGCGGCTGACTGTACCTCCTGAGAGTCCAGTTTCAGAGCAGAGTGAAAAGAAGGTTGAAAGAAAAGAGCAGGTAAGGTGCCTCTGAGGCAAAGCCCTGACAAGTTCTAATGGTGGTGGTCCTTCACTGCTCCCCCAGCTGGCCCCTGCCCAGGGTCTGGATGTCAGCAGCTCTGTCAATGAAAGGCCCTTGTGACCTTCCCACCTCCTCCCCTGTCTGCTCAGCAGCCAGCTTAGTCTTCCTAGCTGGCCCTGTCCTTGATTCTTTGGGAACACTAGGGCTCTGTGTTGCCCTGGAGCTTGGGGATATTGGCCCTGGTGACAGGTGCAGTGGTGGAGGATGTGGCTGTTCCTGAAACAGCCCTGTCTGGTTGAGTCAAAAGGCCCATTGTGAGCTGTGGTGGGGCCAGAGCCTTTCTCAGGAGCTCAGAGCAGTGCTCCAGCCTAGCTCAGGCAGCCGAGAGGAAAGCCACGATAGCTACTCTGGTCTGGGAACGGGGAAGGGCACCTTCTTGGGGATAGAAGGAGTTCAGTAAACATTTTTGTTGCAGCTCTTGTACTTGGTGCTGGGGCCACAGAGATAAGTATGACCTTGAACTTGCCTTAGAGCTCCAGAGTCAGTTTTTTTTTTCCACGGGGAGACAGATGTATAAATAAATGTTGATCTTATATTTCAGACATTAGGATCCAGAAATGTAAGAAGGGCTCAGGAAACACAGAGAAGAGAATAACCGACTGCTTAGGAAGTGATATTGAAACAGGAGTAATGCAGTGGTCCCCAACCTTTTTGGCACCAGGGTTTGTGGAAGACAATTTTTCCACAGACTGGGGACAGAGGGGGTGGTTTCAGATTGACTCAAGTGCATTACGTATTTATTGTGTACTTTATTTGTATTATTATTACCTTGTAATAGTAAGGACTAGTACCAATCTGTGGCCTGGAGGTTAGAGATCCCTGGCTTAAAGAATAAGTTGGAGGAGGGGAGTCCTGTTTACCTCTAGATCTGTGGTCCTGGACAAACCATTTTACCCATTCACAAGCAATTGTGGAGTTTCTACTGTATCCTAGGCATAGTTCCAGGCTGTAGGAGTATAATAGTGAACAAAATGGCGAATAAAATACCTGTCATCCTTGGAACTTGTCAAGGCATTTCAAAAAGGTGTGTGGAAATAATGGAATTAAAGTATCAATTTATTTTGGTGCAAAATCTTTTTGAAATCTAGAGACTAGATGGTGATGCCTCAGTAAAATGCAATGCTCTGTGAGGCTGACCCACATGGGAAGGTTCCAGGTTTGTGTCTGGAGACCTCCCTGAGTACACCAAGCACATATGTGCCCATGATCCAGGGATAGCAAAGGCTAGGAGTAGATTGTGGTGTCAAGATCCTGTTGGGAGTTTTCACTGTCTCATGAAATAAATAAACTTCAAAAAATTTTGAAATTCATGCATAGTATGAATTTACTAAGAATTTGAAGACCCTCATAAATCCTAGTGGGATGAGAACAAAAATAAACAAATTAATTCAGTATATTTATAATTTAGGTGGTAGTAAATGCTATAAATGGAAACAAATATAGTTAAAAAAGGGTATAGGAGTTTCAGGAAGTAAGTAGCACTTTTCTTGTGTATATATCTTATATGACTAGAAAATAAAATGATATGATATAATGTAATATAATATAAATTTCTTGAGTGGAATTATGAGACAGCGACTTCTTAAAATATAAACTTTGTTTTTGAGTTAACCAATAATGTGGTTAATTATAAAAAAGAGAAGCTTCTCATTGACCAGTAGGTAGTTGATAATGTCCCTTCATTTACTGTAGGTCTCTGTGTCCCCTTCCTTCCTTTCCCACCCATCTTCTCCCCACTTTCTACCAAGGACAGAGAGTTACCTACACTAATATAAATAGTGTATGACAGAGAAAGGAACTAGGAAGGAAGGAAAATCCAGCTATGACTAAAGAAAATTAAGAGAGACTAAAGTTCCTAATCTGCTGGAAAAGGGATGATGTGTTCTGCTAAAAGGATCTAAAAAATTTTCATTTGTTTCTCATTTTTTGGGGGCTATTTTCTCGGTATCTTAGAAGGTGAAGACACTAATAAGGGCATTGATAATCTAGTCTATGAAATCCTGTTAGAAAACTTTCCAAATCTAGAGAGCCATTCAAATATCCAGACCCAAGAAAGACAAAGGACCTCTAATATAGAATCAACCCAAGAAGATCTTCTCCAAGGAACATCATAGCCAGATTGACCAAATTCACAGACAAAGATACTAAAATTGGCAAGAGAGAAATGTCAGGTTACTTAAAAGGTTATCCCATCATGTCAACAGCAAACCTCTCATCAGAAACAATGCTAGCAAGGGAAGAATGGGAAAATACATTCAAAGTGTTAAGTGAAAAATAGTTTCAACAAAGAATACTATACCCAGCAAGATTATCCTTCATATGGGAACAAAAGATAAAAACATTCTCAGATAAACAAAACCTGAAAGAATTTACTAACACCAGACCAACTATTCAAGAAATTCTGAAAGGAGTGCTTTACCTGGAAAACTAAAGACACATACAGAAATAAGAGAACAAAAAGCAACCAAGAAAATGACCAACTTCATGCTAGGGACAAGAAATATCAATAATAACGTTGAATGTTAACTTCCAGAATTTAAATGGAAAGACTGGACCACAGTAATACTGCAGAAGAGAGATTAATTACATAAGATTGAACTGGTAAAATAAAATTTTATGACTTTTGAGTAAAATACTACTGATTTTTTTTATTATGCTTTCTTTTCCCAATTTAAGGATTTTGCTTTCTTTTTTTTTGTTTTCATTTTACATTCAATCACATTATTTAGCTTACAAAATGAATATTTCAACAGGTGAACATTTCTCCCTAGTACAGTTGATAAAACGATAAAATATCTTCGACAGATAATATCACATTTCTTTGTCCCATTAACGCTTTGCTTCCCTATTTTTCTTCTAAATGTCTTTTCTCAGACCCTTTTCTTTCACACACACTATATCTGGTATTTGTATCTATATACTGTGTTTCTATATCCTTTAGTCAATCAACTTTTTTGAGCTGTTGATTGGTTCAGCAATTTATTAAAATGTTTTTTCTTCTTCTTTTTTGTTTCTTCAAATGGAAACAAACTTTCTCCCTTCTTGACCCCTCTAATTGGAAAATATTTGAGAGTATTCTTATTTGTGGCAGAATGGTTATTCACGTAAGTTCAATAATACCTGTAGTCTTGAGTCAGAAATTGGAAATATTCGTTATTAGACTGGGCTTTGACTGGAATGTCACATCTAAAGATTAAACCAGAAGACTATGAAACTAAGATAGAGCTCAAGTAAGCTAACAGAAGCTCTTGGAAAGATGCCCTGGCACCATAAACAGTTCTGCCTGGCAGAGAGGATTAGAGAAGCTATATGAAAGAATTCATACCATTAAATAACCTGGACTTTTCTAGCTCAGCATTGTAATCAGTAGAGATTGCAAAAGAGCAGCCACAACCAGAGGATTACCTTGAGGAAGACTTTGAAGGAAGGAAAAGAGACCAGTCTTTGCTAACAGATGGTATGTCACAGAATGCTAGGTAGGCAGGGCTGAACTGAGAAGGTTTATGTGTGAATTGTGTGCTGTGGGTTGGCCTTGCAGTTTGAGTAGTTGACATGTAAATATTTTCTCAAACATATTTAAAACCATACTGTCTCTGTTGTTATAGAGTCACAAACAAAATTATAACAAATATTTCAAACATTATCTTTAAAGTTCAGTTTTTTTGAAAATTTGAAAGTTGTTTATTAACTATCAAGAACTATGGAGTATGAGCAAAGATTTTTTTTTTTTTTTGAGATGTTTTTGCTATAGGGCACTTGTGCTCACCAGAAAGACAGAGACAGAGAGACAGAAAGCAAGAAATCACCCCCCAGGGGGGATGGCCACACCGCAATCCCTTCTCATCTACTCTCCTCTGAGGATCATGGCCACGCACTCTCACACGCCTGGCATGAGTTTTAAGCCAGTGGGTCTGGAACTTGAACTGCGATCAACTACATGGGAGTCCAGTGACATAGCCATTATGCCAACTGCTGGTCCCAAGATTTTTTGATATGTGTTTGTGGGAAAATATAAAAGTAAATAAATAGAAAAATAAAAAAACCACTAAAGAAAAAAAGGATCTAGAAAAAATGGCTAGATTCTTAGAGCAGGGGCAGGGCAAGATGGGCCTGTGACACTTAGTGATAGAAAGCCAAGTAGCACTCAGTGATGAATGGGGTCATAGCAGAGGACCTAGGGACTGGTTGGAAAGGACTCACTGACCAAAGTGGGGATAACTTGAGCATCGAAAAGAACATGACTATGTGGCTAGCAGGTGTGGTGAGTAAGGCACTGGGCTCTCACATGACCAACTGTGGTTCATGTGTCAGACCTCATGGCTTAAAACACACTAGGCGCATGTACATGCATGCCTAAAATCCTGAGAGGAGAATGGAGGGGAAGGGACTGTGGCATGGCTTTATCTTCTGGGGGATGATTTCTCACTTTCCCTTTCTCTGCCTCTCAAGTGAGCACACATGCCGAATGGTAAAAAGCTAAACAAACAAACAAACAAACTGTAAGGGGTTATGACACACTGACTAATAAAGTATCATGAGTCTATAGTGTGAATCAGGAAAGGGTAAGAAACAAAAGTCTCTTCTTTATAGAATGCCAGCTAACTAAGGTAGAAAAATCTCTATTTTGCAACCCCTACGTAGGATCATTAATGGATGTACAAGTTGGGGGCGGAGTGAAAGGTCATTGTGGAATAGGATATTCATGGGATCTCAAAGTATCAGCTGAGTGGATTTCTCACCGATTCTAAAGGGACAGGGTACCTTACAGCTGAGCAACCTTGCAGTCAGCATTTCAACCAGTAATCCACTTAACACTGCCTTAATGGGTGTTGTGACTTCTGAAATGATGTAATTAAGCACACACTATGACCTATACAATATTCATGCCAAGCTTGTTTAACTGAATCTAATAATAAGGAAGCTCAAAAATAAAAAGC